ATGCCAGGCTCTGTGCCCTGTGGCTTTGTGGGTTCCCTGAGCATTTGAGGGCAGGTGAACAGGCACCTGCTTTTCTGGAATGGGGAGAACCTCCAGCCATAGGAGGGAGGACTGGGGGTGACAGTGTGAGCCCAGTGACCACGGCCCCAGATCTCCCTGCACGATGAATTTGTTACCCCAGCTCACCCTCCAATGGCCCAACCCGTGGAAACAGAACCAGAGCGCCTACTGGGTGTCGGGCAGTGTGCTTCATCTTATTTTCCCCTCCAGCATCTCTCTAACGGGTATTATCATTCCCATTTTACAGAAGGGAGAATTGACACTCAGAGAGGTTAAGTAACTTGCTCAAGTTCTGTGCTCTGCAATTATGTCATCATTCATTCATTCGTTCATTCATTCATTCAAAGCACCTAGAATGTGCTAAACACAATGCTAGGCACCTTTTACTAAGGTAAAAATGTTTCAGAACAAGAGAGGCCTGTCTCCTGGAGAGTCTGATATGTTGTAATTTACAAAGGGCCAGGGGTCTCTCATGCTTTGCCTTGTGGGCTAGAGGGACATGCTGGGCCGTCAGAATTATTGCAGGATGTGCACAGTGGGGAGGTTGTAGCAAAGATTATGGACCTTGGAGCTTTATCTACTTTGAAACTCCACTCTGCCATTCACTAGCTGTGAGACCTTGAGCAAGTTACTTCTCTGTGTTAGTTTCCTCATCTAGAAAATGGGAATAACAGGAGCATTTACCTCATGGAATTGTTTGCAAGATTTAAAAAGGTAATGGTAATAAGAACGCTTAGTGCTGTGGACCTGGAGAACCCTCACTAGGCAGCAGCTGTTAGCAACTGGTATTAGCAGCACCATCTGTCCTGCCCACACGGCCCAGAAGGGTCCTGGTAGGCAAGGGCGGTGTTCTGGGTTGAGTGTGGTTTTCATCAGAGGCAGCAAGGATGGTCTCTGAAGCAGGAGGAAGTGGGCCTGGAGCCCCGGACCCCACGACATCCTCCGCAGCCTCTAGCCAGCCCTTGTCAAAACCCTGTAGCTTCAGCTGTTGGCTTCTAGCACCAAAATGTAGTTTTAAATTCCTGTTGACCTGCAACCGGTTCTGAGTAAGTGGAGCAGCTCTGAGGGTGGTTACCAGACGCCCGCTCCACCCAGCAGCTGTGTAACGATCAGAAGCTCTCTCTCTCCCACGGAGGGGATCAGCGCTTCCTGCTGCCCCTACAGGAAGTTCCTTCTATAAGCCCTGCAGTGGGTCACATCAGGTCCACGCAGGACTCCATACTGGCCTGGAAACCTGAACGCGGGAAGCTGGGATGATGGGCAGTGAGCCAAGGGGCAGTGGTGGTAGAGGGGTCCTTACAGGCAGGTCTGAGAAAGCGCAGAACCAGCACCTCCCTTCACGGTTACCAGGACAAAGCCAGGGACTATCCCCTCTGTCTGCATCCTGTGGGCTGCACCCTTCCTTCTGGGGGCTTCCCCGTGACTCTCTGCCCCCACCCAAGGTTGCTATGCATGTCTGTTGCAACCAGTTGCCCACCTGTGGGGCCAAGCCTACTCACCTACTGACACAGTAGAACGCGATCAGTCTGAAGATGTCCTCAAACACAAGAACGGAGCCTTCCAGGTACAATACTGAGGAGAGATGACAAAGGCCTTGGATGAGTGTCCTTGCAGAGGGAAGGAAGAGGTACATGTCTACCCACTCATTACTGCAATGCCTGGCTTGCCGCAGCTGCATACACGTCAGCTGTCAATTGGACTGTCATGGGGAAGTGAGAAATGAACTCGTGTGGCATCAATCCACTGAGATCTTAGGGGGACTATCTCTGTAGCCGCTGGTGTTATCTTAACACACACTTATCATTTTGGGCAAAATAACATAGAAGCCTCTAGATCATAAAAGCAGAATGAAACTTAATTTGATCGGGGTCATCTCAACTTGACAGTTGTGAGGGGCCAGTGAGAGGAATGTTGCCCATTTTTGTCTTGGCCTCTGTGAGGTTCACAGGTCCAGGGGTGCTGAACTAGTGCCACTGATCCTTGGCCCCATACGGCCTCTTAGAACCTCATTTGATTTGGCTGCATGGGTAACCTAAGGGTGAGGGTGACCTCAGTGTTTTCCAGCTCTGACAAGAGGGATCAAAGTATCTGCCCAAGATCGCATCCTCGGAGGATGCCAGGATGTGGCAGTCAGTCACTGAAGCTGGGGGTGCGCTGACCAGAGAATGTGGCACCATGCTATGCCCTGCCTCGGACCCTCAGGGCAAGGGACCTCGAGAAGCTGAGCTAGTTGCTCATCAGTGGTCTTGGCTGCCAACAACCCCCATGGCTCTTGACTCTCACCCCAGGGCTCCGTACGCTCCATAAGGATGCTCCCTGCACTGGGGACCCCCACAGTGACTTTCTCAGGCACCAGAGGGGCTGAGACACATGTGTGCATCACACTTCAGTTTCAACGTCCTGAAGGCCTTCTAGTGTCCATGTGGTGGAGGGGGAGGCAGGGCCCAGCCCCAGGCCTGGCTCTGACCCTGAGAGCAACAGCGTGACTATGTCCCTTCTCCTCCAAGAACCTCAGTTCCTCTACCTGCAAAGGAAAGGAGTCCTTCTGATCCTAACCACTGTGCAGGCAGGTGACATCAGCCTGCCGTCCGGTTTTCGAAGCCCAGGACAGCATTCCAGTGTTGGTGGTCTATGAGACAGCTGCAGGGTGTCAAACCAACAGGTTTTGTTTGAATAGCTTTATTTTTATATTTGCCTTCTTTCTATAGACTTGGCACTGTTCTAAACAGTTAACGTGATTTTTGAAGAAAGTTTACATTATTCGATTTATGGCAGAGATAATGGTTTCCCATTAGACAGATATTTAAAAAGTTTTAAGGGAGTTTAAAGGAAAATAAGTAGTAGGTCATAGCACGGAAGGTACTCTGCAGATGCCCACAAATGACCCACGTCTGAGAATCCGCCCGTGGAATCAGCACCCTCTGTGAATTAATAGCGGTGGGGCGGCCCACAGCGCCATCTAGTGCTGGCATTTGGTGCATCACCGACTCTCTCCTTAAGAAGCTGCACAGACTGGTCAAGGGAGCCTGGGACGGAAAAGACCTCCTGTAGCCACGAGAGGTAGAGAGGCCCCTCCATCTGTGAAATGGGAACTCAAAGACCTTCCTCGCGAATCCCTCAAGGAGCGTTAGTGGTGATGCACGCAGAAAGCCTGGCCTTCGACCAGACCTGCTCAACCATTAGCAGCTTTCCCTTGCCATGGAGACACCGTCTGAGCTTTGCACAGCACAGATGAACCTTTAAGATAAAGTCCGTCACTCCCACTTCTGTGCTCTCTGGCACTTTATAGAAAACCCATATTTCTTTTAGACTTCGTTTACCCCACCGTCTCTTTGCCAGTACGCTCCTAGGGTGCAGGGACCAGGGCTCATTCATTTTGCAGGGTGGAGTGGGGGGCAGCACGGTTCTAGACATAGTGGCTGATCACCTTTGTTAAAACTATAGATTTTTCTAAATCCCATGCAAAGGTCAAAGCTCAAGTTTGTTTCTTTAGATCTCTTCTTCCCCAGCCCCAGCCACCTGCCCACATATCCCCTGTACTGACGGTGGGAATTGCAACCCTTCACACCAAGGCTCCCTCATAGGGAGATGGGGAGCTCCTGCATGCCAGGGCTTGGTTCCGATCTGAATGGCCCTCAGCACCCAGCACAGTACACGCTGTGCCAGGCACATAAGGAGAGCTCCGAGAAGGACACCTGGGCTGACTGGGCCTTCTGGTGCCAGAATCAAGAGTGGACCAAATGCACAGAGGCCTTAGGGGTACATTAGAGGTCGCTAAGGGCTGGAAGAAAGGAGATAGGGGGCGATACTTCTAAAGGGTGTGACGTTTCTATTTTTTCAATGTAGTAAACTGTAAAAAAACATAAAATTTGGCATTTTAACCATTTTTAAGTATACAGTTAGTAGCATCAAGTACATTCACATTGTGCAACACAGGTTTCTTTTCTGAGTTGATGAAAAGGCTCTTAAATTGACTATGGTGATATGACTGAATACACCGAAGGCTTTAAATGGGTGAATTTATAATACAGAATATGTTATATGAATACATCTCGATGAAATTAAAAAAAGAAAAATGCACACACACAGAGTGGACTGAATTTCACTGCCTGTATTATGTTTTTTTTCTCGGATTTTTTAAAATGAGCATCTGTGAGTTCTGTAAGTGGAGAAACTATTAAGATTCTCTAAACTTTTCTCTAATTTTCTAAAGTTCTCTGTAAACTTTTCTCTAAAGCCAACTGGGTTCCAGTGTCCTCTCAACTCATGCTGCTTTAGAATTTGCTCACAGCCGTGCCAGGCACAGGTGACAAACCCCCACGCCATTTATTGCCTCTTACCTGCCTAAGCCAGCTTCAGAAAGAGCTTCGGGAACGTCCAGTGCCAGCTCTGCCCTTGGCAGCAGCTCGAGGCAGGGACCTAGACAGCTGGCTCCTCCCAGCACAGATGCCAGTTCCAGCAGGTCACCTTTGAAAAGCTCAAACAGCGACCCCTGTACTGTGTACAGTCTTCAGGGTTCCTCAGCAAAAGCCAGACCCTTTCTAACCATTTTTCTCTTCAAAGGGTGAAGAGAGAGAACAGGTACCTGCCAGCCACACCTGGCACATCCTGAGGTGACAACAAGTGACAACAGTGGGATTCTGCCTCTGCCTGCAGAAGAGGAAACCTTTCACCTTATGACTCACCGTCAAGGCTGAGTCAGGACAGGGTAAAGATGCCAGGTGCACATATGCCAGAACGGCTTCTGGCATTTACAATCCCAATGTCAAAATGAAATATCCATGAAGAACTGAAAGCTAGTAGATTTAAAAGGAAAGAAATTCCATTTTATCACTCAATAATACGAACGAACTACTGAGGACAGAGACGGTGTGTATCTCGCGTTCTCCATGGTTACCTCCCGCGCCAGGCATGGTGCTTAGCACTTTGCTGGCTCTCAAATATTGATTCGATTATAACAGTAATATCACCGTGTGTAACTAGAAGACAATATCGAAACCAGGAGACTGAGGTACCGGCTTCCCATGTGCTCGTGCACGTGTGTGTGTTCGTACGGTGCTGGGAGTTAGATCCCATGTGTGGCCGCCTGTAATCGCCACCACAATCAAGGTATTACTGTACCAAGCCTCCCTGTGCTCCCCCTTTAAAACCACAGCCACCGCTCCCCAACCCCAGGCCCTGGCAACCGCTAATCTGTTCATCTCTCTGATTATGTTATTTCACGGTTGTCTTATAAATGGAATCATGCGGTATATCCTTTGAGACCGGCTTTCTTTACTCAGCATAATTTTCTCGAGGGTCATCCAGGTTGTTGAGTGAGTTAATCACCCCCTCCTCTTTAGTGCTGAGTAGTGGTCTATGACCTGGATGTAGCAACGTTTGCTTGACTGTTAGATTGAAGGATGTCTGGGGAAATTTCCAGTTTTGAGTTATGACACATCCAGCTGCTGTGAACATTTGTGTACGAGTTTCCGTGTGAAAATACGCTTTCCTTTCTCTGGGATAAATGGCTGTGAGTGCCACGCTGGGTCATATGAGAAGTCCAGCATTATTGCTCAAAGGAACGGCCACGCCACTTTCCAGCGTGGCCTACCATCGTACTTTCCCACCAGCAATGTAGGGGTGATCCAGTTTCCCTCCATGCTCGCCAATTAGGCGGTTTCACTATGTTTTATTTTACCCATTCCAGTAGGTGTAGGGTGATGTCTCATTGTGGCTTTAGATTGCGTTTTTCTAATTTGGATTTTGAAAAGATGTTGAACATCTTTTTATGTGGTTATTTGCTATCTGTATATCCTTGTTGGTGAAACATCTGTTCATGTCTTTTGCTCATTTCTTAATTGGATGTTGTTGTTTTTTTTAATGTTGAGGTTTTAAAAAAATCACTTTATTAAGAGTGTCACATACCGTACAATTCACCAATTTAAAGTGCACAATTCAATGGTTTTACCATATTCACGGAGTTGTGCAACCATCATCATAATCAATTGCAGAACATTTTCATCATCCCAAAAAGAAACCCTGGACCCATTAGCAGCCACTTTCCCGTCCTCCCTCCTCCTAGCTCCTGGCAACCACTGATTTACTTTCTGTCCATACCGATTTGCCTATTCTGGACATGATCATACAATATGTGGTCCTCTGTGTCTGGCTTCTTCTATTCAGATAATAGTCTCAGTGTTCGTCCATGCTGTAGTATGGGTCAGTACTTTTGTTTTATTTATGGCTGAATAATATTCTATTATATGGACATATCACTTTTTGTTTATCCAGTCATCGCTGATAGATATTTGGATTGTTTTCACTTTTTGGCTACTACAAATAATGTTGATGAACATCTGTGTACAAGTCTTTGTGTAGACATAAGTTTTCATTTCTCTTGGGTACATATCTAGAAGTAGAATTGCTGGGAGATCCAGTAACTACATGTTTAAGAAACTGCCAAACTTTTTCAAAGCGACCGCTCCATTTTATATTCTCATTAGTGATGTACGAGGGCTCCAATTTCTCTGCCCCCTGACGACACTTGTCATTGTCTTTTTTATTACAGCCATCCTAGTGGGTGCCAGGTG